CTAAGTCAAAGGAGAAAGGCCACAGTGCTTGGGTCTAGGTCTCTGAGGTTCAGTCCCCGGAGGCAGAGACAGAGCAGTTAAGACCCAGGGCTTCAGCCCCCTGCCTTCTCTTCCTGTGTAAATAGAGGTCTTTTCTTCTATTTGGGGGTTGGTGTTGGGAGTGGAAGTGGTCACTGCTCTTAATCCTGACTCACTGGATTGAGGATCAATCAGAAACTCAGAGATGGCAGGGTTGGCCTGGGGTCACACAGCAGAGTCAGGGCTAACTCCAGTCCCCCCCCCCAGGACTCCGTGCTCCAGGTCCCCTTTGCCTTTCCTGAAGCCCTAAGGTTTGGGGGATCATTTGAGGGACTCTCAGCAGATCCCCTCACTCCCTGCCTGGAGGACGCACAGAGGAAGTCACTTTTGCCTCTTGAAACCTCAGTTGCCTTGTCTGGAGGTGGACTCAGACTCTGCCCATAATGACACTCTGGGCACGTTCTGGCTGCCCCAAGGTCCCACCAGTGGGTGTGCCTGGGGTCAGACTGGGGTGATTTGAGGAGGGCTTACCAGGGGACTGTTTCCTGGGTGGTGGCAGGTGCAGGGAGCCCCTAGGGGCAGTGCCCAGCGGGGGCTGCTCCACGGAGGTCCTCAGAGGTGCCGAGGGGGGTCCCAGGAGGTGAGTGCCTAGGAGGCAGGGCCGTCTTGATGGGGCCTTCCATGGAGGCGGGCAGCCAGCCCTGGCGATCTTGTCCCTCCTCTGGTCTCCTGCCAGGGCTCCCCACTGGCCAAGTCCCATGGAAGCTAAGGGTCCAGGACTCAGTCTATACGGTCAGCAGCTGGAGCAGGAGGCCGGCAGGGAAGGGTGCAGATTGGCCCCGGGGCCATACCAAAGTGACCCCGGAGGTATCAAGGTCCCCCCTCAAGTTTCTTTTGTGGGCCTGGAGGCCGAGAGGCCAGGGAGGAGCGCTGGCTGCTTTGCCTGGGGGAGAGTGGGCTTCTCTCTTACCCGCAGGGGCCTTGCACACTCGCACACTCGACAGGCACTCCACCCCTGAGCTGCAGCCCGAGCCCCGAAGGTTCTTTCTTTCTGAGGTCCCCCTGCCCTGGCCCAGGACTCCAGGCTACCTTAAAGCTATTTGGGGAGCACCCAAGAGGGTCTTTGCTCCAGGATATAGTGAACAGGTCCCTTTCCCTCTGGCCTCAGCTTCACCATCTGTAAAACGGGAGATTGGACCAAGCAACCTCTGAGGAGCTCCTGGCTCTGACCCAGGAGGGAAGGGGCAGGTTCTGGGCAGGTTCTGGTCATCATCAGTCTGGGTCCCAGGGGAGAGTCAGCATCGCTGGGCACCTGTGCCCTACCAGGTGACACCATGTGCCTCTTGCCTAGAGCCATCAGGTCCACCTGCCATGAAGAGGAGGTGAAACTGTAGCCAGGTGTGTGCAGGTGTGTGCATGTGTGTGTGTGTGTGTGCATGTGCGTGCCTGTGCAAGCCTCTTGGGAGAGGGAAGATGGTTCTAAAGGCTCCCGTGGTGCTCTGGGGGCCGGCCCCAGCCTCTACTGTCCTGGTGATCCCAGGGACCCCCTAGGCGAGGCCTGACTGCCCACTGACTTCCGACTACAGCGGGGACTGATATTTACTGATGGATGATGAGCAGGTGACCAGACTTGACTGAGCGCGGCTGGGTGCCTGGCCTAGGAGGCTGGCAGGAAACAGAGCCTTGCACGTGGATGGGACCCAGAGGTGGAGGTGACCTCACGGTGGCTTGGAGATAGGAAGACAAGGGGCAAGTCTGCCAGGCTCTGATGTGGAGAGGGGGTGAGTCCTTCTGCCCCAGAGTTGAAGGATGACTGTGTTCCCACGGGAGCTGTTCAGGCCACTCGGCCGGCTAGGGAGACGTGTGGTGAAGGTGTGACAGAGGGCAGCCCGGCCTCACGGAAGGGAAGGCCGGTGAAGTCGGTTGGCAAGAGAAGCGCCAGAGGGGCGCCATGGAGTGGCCCTGGGTGCCAGGTGACGGGTGTGCTGTCTCTGAGGGCACTTGGGTCTGGCTGCGCCTGGCCCGTCCTGCTCCCTCCGTCCCTTGCCCTTGCCCTGGAGAGTGGCTGGACCAGGGGTCTGCTCCAGATGAGGCTTGCACCATGAGCTGCATGCCTACTGTGTGTCAGTCCCCTGGTTGGGCACTGGGACATGGAGGGGCTCAGCACTGATGTCCAGACACCTGGGCCTCATTCCTGTGGCCACCTCCTATTGTGTCACCTTGGGCTAGGGACTGCCCCCCATCTTCTGCATCTGTCCTAATAGGGGCGTCATGTTCGATTGCTACCACAGTGCCTGGTGCGTGGGTGGGACCCCGCGGTGGAGGTGGCCTGCTGTTACAGAGCACAAGAGGACATCTCCCAGGGAGAGGTGACGTGCACTGTCACAGAGCACTTGTGGATCCCCTCCAGGTGGTGATGACAAGAGCTGCGGTGGATTACAGGGGACACGCCCCAGGTGGTAGTGATGCCTGCTGTCTCAGAGCACAGGCAGTGCGAGGCAGGCTGGGGGAGGAGAGAGAAGGCAGACAGGGAGCGTGGGCAGAGATTTCCTAGGGAAACCTCCAGAAGAGTGGGTGTCTGGTGTGTGCCTGGCGGAGGCAGTGGAGGAGGGGTGGGGACCGTGCGGAGCAGAGGAAGCAGCCAGGGCTGCACGGGCAGCAGTGGGGACCGGGGCTTCTGCAGGACGTGGTCCAGGCCTGGGTCCATGGCTTCGCCTGCTTGGCCGTGGTCCAGGGCTTGGGATCGGAGCCTGTTCCAGTTGAAGTCCTTTCAGGCTTCTGGGGACCCCTGTTTGGTTACATGGAGAGAACGGAGCAGGAAATGCAGCAGGTGCCCCCGGCCCCAGAAGCCAGCCCCCGTGTGCACCCTGTGCCAGCCCCCGTGTGCACCCTGTGCTTTGCCGTGACTGCACCATCCTCACCTCCAGTGTTCTTGGGGTGGGCTGGGGGTGTGCACTCAGCACCTCCACGAACAGGAACATGTACATTCACCTTGCTGGTGTTTCTCACTCTGCACTCCTGCGTGTCCCCAGGGACCAGGGAAACCCCCGCCCCATCCTTTTCAGACTTCCTTGTGAGTCAACAGGTCTTTCCCGAGCACCCACACACACCACGCTCCAAGCGGGGTGCCGGGATGTGGAGATGCAGCCGGCTTAGGTGTGGGAGTCCGGAGTCCCACGTGTGCGCATGCGTGCACTGTGCAAATGAGGGCTAGACCAGAGGCCCAGGCCTGGCTGTTGCTATAGGAGCCAGAGGGGGCTGAGAGTGGTGGGCGGAGGGGGTCACCAAGGGTCTCCGGAAGGGAGTCCTCTGCGGGAGCCACTCCAGAGCAGTAGAAGAGGCATGGTGTGGGGGACCAGTGAGGAAGCAGCCAGGCTGGGCCGGCCCAGGAGGTCATAAGTGGGTGTGGTCAGAAGGTGGCTGAAGATTGTCTTGAGCTGTCACCATGTAAAACTCCGAATATTTCGTGTTTTTTAAAATCCCAGATTTCTGGCTTTGCTGGAAGCTGTGGGAAGCTCTGGTTACATTTTCCCTCTTGTGAAGTAGCAGTAATCAGCCAGGCTGCTTTCCTCACCTGCCTGGCCTCTGCAGACCTCCCACGCTTAAAGCCTCGGCAAAAGAGGATCTGGATTGGAAGTCAGAGATCCCCGATTCTCATTGACAGAAGGGATCTGCAGGAAGGGGCCCAGGCCTGGGTAGATGGCTTTGCCTGCTTGGGAGGGGGGGGGGGTAGATGTCTTCCACACTTCTGACCAGGAGAGGCCTGATTTGCTTGTATACTTCCATGAACAGGGAGCTCAGGACTTTATAAGACATGTGAGGTTTGGGGGATATACTTTAAAAATTGTGTTAAAATACATTTTAACCCCCCCTTTTTTTTTAGTGGTGGGGAGGATGGTACTGGGGATTAAACCCAGGAGCACTGTACCACTGAGCCACATCCCCAACCCTTTTTACTTTTATTTTGAGACAGAGGCTCACTAAGTTGTAGAGGCTGGCCTTGAACTTTCGACCCTGTTGCCTCAGCCTCCTGAGCAGCTGGGATTACAGGTGTGCACCTCCATGCCCAGCTCATTTTAACCATTTTAAGTATACAACTCAGTGGCATTAAGAACATCTACAGCCGGGCACAGTGGCACACACATGTAATCCCCGTGGCTCGGGAAGCTGAGTGACACAGGAGGGTCATGAGTTCAAAGCCAGCCTCAGCAAAAGCGAGGCACTAAGCAACTCAGTGAGACCCTGTCTCTAAATAAAATACAAAACAGGGATGGGGATGTGGCTCAGTGGGCAAGTGCCCCTGTGTTCAATCCCTGGTATCCCACCACCAAAAAAATAAAATAAAATAAAACACCTACAATGCTGTATGACCATTGCCACCACCCATTTTTACGACTTTTCCATTCTCCCAGACAGAAACTTTGAACCATTCAGTGACCATTTCCCATCCCCCCCCCCAGCTGGGAACTTTTGATGTATTTTCTGTCCCAGTGCATTTGCCTATTCTAAATATTCTCCACTGAGGTGGAATCCATCCACATTTGTCCTTCTGTGTCTGGTGTGCGTCACCTGGCATGATGCTCCTTCAAGGTTTGTCCACCCTGTGACTCTCTTCTGAACCTGATTCCTCTGGGGCAGGCGGCATTCCCTTGCGTGTGTGTAGCGGTGTATTTATCCAATCATCTGTTGATGGACACTGAGTCGTGCCTGCAATTTGGCTGTCATGAACAAAGCTGCTCTGAACATTTGCATGCACGTGTTTGTCCACGTCCCCGTTTTCCCTTCTTCGGGGTGTCACACGGGAGTGGAGCTGCTGCCTCGGATGGTAATCCTCTCTTTAATTCTGCTGAACTTTTCTGCTGCCCCACTTTATAGGGACCAGTTTGTGGGTTGTGCGTGGCTGGATGCGAGTGGCAGGGAGGCCTCCGTGGACGTGCTTTAGCTACCGGATGTACTCACCTCCTCTCTCCCTCTCTCGACAGAGTCACCCCAAGAAAGGCCCGGCTCCCGGCGCAGCCTGCCCGGCAGCCTCTCAGAGAAGAGCCCCAGCATGGAGCCCTCAGCTGCCTCACCGTTCCGGGTCACGGTAACTATCTCTGCGTCACCACCACCACCGACACTGCCACCAACCATCACCACCTGGCCCCGGGGTGCTGCTCTGCGACCCCGTGGTCCCCCTTCCTGGAGCCTCATGGACCGGGAGAGCGTCCAGCCTCCCTTGCTCTAGGTATCCAATCCCTTGGCTGCTCCCGTCTCCGTGGCTCAGCCCTGCCCCCGGGGCCACATGGGTCCCATCCTTCAAGGGAGGGGTCACGTGGAGGACAGGCATCCCTGAAGGCCACCAGACATGGAGCGCCCTGGCCCAGGAAGAGAAGAGATTAAGCTACGTCCCCCACACTCCACGCTTCCCCACCCTGACGGGGCGGGTGTCGTTTGGGTGTCTTGAGGTCTGTCATGCGGTAGTCCCTGGCCGGTCATAATTCAGTTCTGTCTTGGTGGGAAATAAAATAATTCTGTATTCTCCAACCGATGATGCCTTAGAATTGACAGATCACAGCCTATATATTATAGCTCTTGGAATTTAGGCCATTCGCACACATAATTTCTTTTCTTTTTTACAAACTTAAATGACTTTGTGGAGACAGACAGAACCCAGGGACCCCCTACATCGGACTTCCGTGCCTCTTGGTATTGCCACACAGGCAGACAGAGGGTCGGGTCCCTTCCCTCCCTCATTCACCAAGCACAGCATGTGACCCTCTGTCCGATGCTGTGGCGGGCACGTGGTCTTCCCCAGGGAGCCCAGGTCTGTATCGGAGCTTCTGTTTGCCTGTGTGATCATCCCCTCTTTCACTGGAGAGTTGTGGCATGCCTGTCCCATGCCAGGCCCATGCCGGTGGTGGGCTGAGCGGAGACGCAGGTCAGGAGAGCACGGTGGACAAAGCCCCCTCATGCTCACTCTTGAGTTGACCAGGGAAACAGGAAGCTTGTTTGAGGTGGTGTGGTTGGGAGGTGATGTTTGAGCTGAGGCCCACGGGCCGAGGAGCCAGCCCTGTGGCCGGCAGAGGACAGAGGTGCGGGGAAGAGAGTGGCAGACTTGGCTGTACCCCTGACTCGGGGACTGCAGGGGAGCTGGAGTAGCTGACTGTCCCAGTAGGTGAGAGAGGGACTCCCTGGAGCTGACTTTTGAGCTGGGTCCTGCAGGATCAGTGGAAACTGGCTGTTGATAGAGGCAGTAAGGGGACTTGTGATGACATGGATGTGCTGAGGGATGCTGAGACACTGGCTGGGTCTGGTGTGAGGGGACTGAAGGGCTGGTGTGAGATGAGGCTGGAGAGCAGGCTGTGACAGGTCAGGTGGAGCCCTGCCCAGGACCGCTGACCCATCTGCCTGTCTATATGGCAGAAAAATGCTTTGAAGATGGGTCCTGGGGACCCTTCCAGCTTGCGGCTCGCTGGGCCTGGGCATCTGCATTTTACCAAGCTCCCCTGACAGGTGGTGCAGAGTTCCGGGCCTCTGGCGTGGAGGAGGAGCCTGTGCTGAGAGCATTCAGGGTCATGCCTCTGGATATGGCCAGTAGGTCCCTGGGAACTCATCTAGGGTGACACCCATTCCCACCCACTGGAGCAGAGGCCAAATCCCACCCTCTCTGGTCTCCAAGGCCACAGTGGGCAGGGTGAGCCTTCAGGGGACCTCAGGGCACTATGGATAATAATCCAGTAGTCCACTCCACTGATTGTTCACCTGCGGCGTGTGGCTCTGTCCTGCATCCCTCATCTCCCTGATCTCCGACAGCCCTGCAGCTGATGCTTTGGTTACCCATCTTCCAGGCGAGGGAACTGAGGCTCTGCTAGGTTAAGGCACTTGTCCGAGCTCCAAGTGCTAGTAGAGGTGAGAGGCAGAGCTGTGACTGGGAAAGAGTGCGCCTCCTGGGGCTGAGGAGGAGGAGCCCCATCAGCAACCTTTCTCTGCCGCTTCCCGTTCTTTGCTGCTCTAATAAGCACGCCAGCACACCTGAGTTGCTGGAATTTGCAGCCCTGTAATTGCCAGCGGGGCTTGGCGGGTTTCCCGTCGTGGTGTCTCTGCTCGGTTTCCTGGGTGGAAACTACCTGTGGATCAGAGTCAGAGATAGCCTGCCAGCCTCTAGCCCCCAGGACTGCACCCACAGCCCACCTGCCCAGGGAAGGTCTGCAGAGCACCTTTAAGGTGGTCATTTTGCCCACTGCTCATGGCAACCCTGTTGGTAGGTATCATAAATATCACCATTTCGCAGATGAGGAAACTGAGGTTCACAGAGGTGAAGTCATTTTCCTGGTGTCACACAGCTCCTGAGTGACAGGCAGGCAGAAATGCTGGAACAGTGGGACATTTCAGCTTTGCGTGCATCTCTGGGGACCTTGGTCCTTTTTCTGTGTTCAGCAGTTAAGGAAAGGGGTGTGACCTGAGACTCCATCCTGGGCCAGAGGCTTGGAGCTGGGGGCCCTGGAGAGCTTGAGTTTGGGGAGCTGGGTTCTAATCTCGGCCCTTTCATGAACTGCGTGGCCTCCTGAGGCACTTGGCCTTCCTGAGCCTCGTATCCTCAACAGTGACATGTGGAGCTGGCAACTGTCCTGAAGACTCACTGTGAGCCTGCCACCAGGCTTGACCCCATGGCGGTGCTTGACAGATGAAATCCAACATTCTCATTCAAGTCACGTTTCCCTTTTAGACCAGTAAAGGTATGGGGAGGGCTGGGGCAGGGGCAGAGGATGGTGTTTGGGGGAAGCCAGGTGAGCCGGGCCCGTGTCCTGGGGACAGACCTGCACACAGAGCCTGTGGCAGGGCCAGAAGCACAGCCCAGCCCCGAGCTTGTTCCCCGGCTCCATCCTCACGAGCTCGGCAGCTGCTCTGTGTAGACCCCAAGGGAGCCCGGGGAACGTGCTCTTGCCTGGGGGAGGCAGGAGACACCACAGCATGTACCTGAGTCACTGCTGCTGCTGCTGTCATTTTAAACCCGGGAGTGAGGATGTCACCATGTCTTGTGGAGGTGCCCCGTTGGGAGACCTTAGTTCAGGGGCTAAGGTCTCTAGGTCTCCTTCTGTTCCCTGCGCCATGAAAACCAAGGCAGGGAAGGCCTGGACTGGTCAGAGGTCATCTGAAAGTGCTGGAAGCCTGGCTGGTCCCATGCACGTGCATCAGTGCAGACCCAAGCCCCTCTGAAGGGCATTGGTGATCTGGTGCTTGTCCCCCTCTCTGCCCCTAGAGACTTTGTGACCAGGGAGAACCTCATTTCCCCTTTTGTGAACTAAAGGGGATGGACTTTGTAAGGCAGCATATGCTTTAGGCATACAGTAGGTGCTTAAATGTCCTGGTGCAGCCCGTAAAAGAAAGGGCTTGAGGGTCAGCTGACGTGACTTTGAGGCCCCTGCATGGCCTCAGACCTTCATTGTGACTTGGACCAGATGTGGACCCTTCCTGCCCATCTGGTGTAACTTCCTCCTACCTACAGGTGGGGTTGGGGGACGGGACAGTGGTTCCCCAGGGCCACAGAGGGCCAGGAGACTGGCATGTACCCACAAGAGCTGCAGGGGACCTTGGGTTAATGGGAGGATGCTGGAGGGTCTGGGAGAGGCCTCCTGCCTTCAGCTCTGAGGCTGTCTTCTCCTGGGAGGGAGGGATGAGGGCAGGGGTCAGGTGGCAAGTGAGGCCCTGGATCTGTAGAGACCACGCCTCTGGGGCCCCAGAGTCCCTGAGCAGCGTGCTCCCAGGGATCCCAGTTTGCTGGGGTGAGGGGGGAGCTGGTGACTCTTCTGGTCTCTGGAGAGTCCCTCAGCCTGCCACCTTCCCAGCTGGGCTGTGAGTCCTTTCCCTTCCTTCACTTGCCCCGCCCCCTCCCACCCACCTTGAGGCGCTCCTGCCGGTCTGGTCTGGTCTGGGTGGGGGGGTGGCAGAGGCTCGGGGAAACTTGTCAGCCAATTGATCCCTTCTCGGGAAGTTGAAAGTGGAGAGTCGTGTTTGAAGGTTTAGCTGAAATTAGGTCTCAGGGCTATTTTTTGCGAGATGGAGAAGAAAAAGTGTCAGAGAGGGGAAGGCCCAGGGGGCTGTCAGGAGCTGCAGATGAACTCAGTATCAGGTCGATGGCAGGTGCTTCGGCACACAGGTCTTTGGTTCTTTTCAAGAACTCACTTTTACCAGGTGCTTGGTACTGAGGCGTGACAGGTGTGCCTGGGGTGCTGCAGGAACCCAGAACAAGGGGTCTCTGCCTGGGGAGGAGGGAAAAGAATTCCTGCAGGAGGAATCTTTGAGGCTGGACTTTGAGGGATGTGTAGGAGTTTTTCAGGAACAAAAGGAGAAGAATATTTCAATTAGATGGATATCTAACTGAGCAGGAGCAAGCCAACGGCCCTGAGTGATTATGATCGAGGTGTTGGATGGATTGGGGGCATAAGGGAGAAGGCCTGGGGAGAGAAGTGAGGGGCTTTGGGGTGGTGCATTTCTCCAGAATGCAGGAGCCACAGGGGCAAGGCTCCTGGTGAAGACTGAAGGGTGACCCCTGGCCCAGCATGGAAAGGCGGTCAGAAACGATCTGTCCAACCCTCCCCACACCGAGGAGGCAATGAGGCTCAGAGAGGGGAAGGTCCTTTCCCAAGGTCACAGGGCCTGTCTGGGGCAGGGCCTGGAGCTGAGCCCAGGGCTCACCACGCCCCATCCTCACTGGACATCCGCCACCTGCTCCCGAGTGGGCCTTCCTCTGGCTCCCATCACTTCCGGGCAGTGGGGGGCTTCCTGGAATAGCCCTTTGTGGGTCCCAGTGCCCTAGGAGGCCCCGATGCCTCCTCCTGCTCATTGGCACAACCCCATCTCCTGGCCCTGGACCCACAGCTTGGTCGGGGGCTGCCTGTCAGAGGAGGGGTGACTTGTGGGACAGGAGAGCAGCTTTCTCTGTGGCACAGTCCCCCACCAATGCCCCCTTCTCCATGAAGGCAGCTCTGGGTTGCCCTCACGCAGGGAAACTGAGGCCCAGGGAGGGCAGGCGTGCCAGGTCCCCTTCGGGGGCTCCCTGCACCAGTCTGGACTGCCTCTGGCATCTCAAATGCACCACCCCTT